CTTTCAAAAATCACCACATTCACATAGTGGAAGACACCTACATCATCCTCAACTCTTAGGAAATTTCAAGGGTTTCAGGAGCTGAGAACCAGGAACTGTGGATGAAAATCAAATATATATATGAGAAATAATTATGGTCATCTGAATGACCAAATAAATATTTCTTATGAATCACAATATTGCACCAGTATGTTTAATACAAATGGCACGGGCCAGAAGCCCTCTTCTCCTAGGCTGGGAACTCGTAGTCAGTCAATTAATAATGGAAAGTTGAGTAAAATGCAGAACAAACATACACACACACACAGACAGGCCCCGACTTATGCACAATTCTGAGATGCATACGTGGAATCTTCTAAGAGGATTTCTATCGTAGCATCGATCAAGAATAGTGAGAAAGTCATACAGATTGGGAGAATCGCCAATGAGGTCTCCCAAGGGGCAGCAGTAAGGAAGTGTAGGGGCCTCTGCCCCTGATTTCCTATTCTGCTGCCTGGACGGCCCCCAAGACCTCACTGAGCTGGAACAGATGAGGGCCAGCGTGTCACCAGTTCCCGTGCCACACTGGGGGACAGGGATTCTTGCTCAGCATCCCGGAAGCAGCCAGCCTGGCTCCCAGCTCCCGGCTCCTCTGCCTCACACAGTGGGGTCCCAGGAAGGGCACTGTCGGGGACGGGGACTCTCCCCTTCTGCACATCTTGAGTTCTGGTGGCTGGACCAATAATAAAATTGACACAAGACAGGTTAACAGGAGAAAAAGAAACAAATTTTAATTCATGAGCAGGGAAGTCTCATAGAAACAGGTCCTAGACAGTGGCCAAAGCAGGCAGCTTTTATACTTTTTAGACAAAGAAACAATAAATTTGAGAGGAATTGACAGGACAAAGAAACTTGGGCTTTGGGTGTTTCATTAGTGAAGACTCTGAACAGAACTTGGGCTTGGGGTAGGCAGTTAAAGAGGTAACAAGGTTTGCTTATACAGGCTGCTCAGCCTGAATTCCCTGGTGATAGGGTGGCCTTCCACCTCCAGGTGCAGGAAATGGACCTTTCATAGGAGAGATTTATTTCCTGCTTTGAGGGAGACAGGAGGGTCAGAATGTCCCTCTTGCGTCGGCTCTTTCTTAGGTAACTTTAATTCAAAATAATCAATATGCCTCTGGGAACCACAGCACTGATCAGAGGTCCAGTGCCGTTGACCTCAGCCCCTAAGGGGGTGTCCCCTCAGTGTCAGTCTCCCTGGCTCTGCCCTCCTGTACTCCCCTCCCCTCTCTGTTCAGGTTTCTCTCCAATGTTGTGTGGTACCAGCCTTACACCAGCCACTATCTTCCCAGATGAGTGGATGCCAGCCAGAGGCGAAACAGGTGATCGGACCAAGCCACCTTCACCAAACACAGAAAGAAGACAGCTGAAGATACTCACTGGGCTCGCACAGAAATCACAGAGCTGAAAGGGGTCAGTCCTCGTCTTGGCTAATGTCTTCCTTTTGCACTGGAAGCCGGGTTCTGGAACTGCCTGTGACTCACCGAAGCTGCCTGGGGCCCAGCAGGCCTGGAACCCACGTCCTGTGGGTCCCCGTCCGGAAGGCACCCCTCTAGCCCCACCTACTTGATAAATGTATGAATTGATGAAGAAGTGAATGCGAAGAGGAAACTGGCCCCAAGACAAATGTAAATTATGAGAGCAGCAGGGCGCCCCCAGCCTGTCCTTTCTGCAGGCCTTGTCCTCACTCCCTGCTCCCTCCTGCTGTCGGGCGAGCAGCCCTTGGTGCTTGTAGACTGAGCTAGTGAGTGTTACTGGGACTGGGAACATCCCACCTCCGTCAGCTTCTAGCACTTCACCCTTTACATGCAACTGACCGAAGGGAGTACTGTTTGGGGTCAGCATTAGGCATAGGAACACACACACCGGGCTCCTCGCCCCCCTGGGACGGGCCACCTCCTCCTGCCTGTCCCACTGCAGAGCTACTAGGGCAACAGAGCCCAGACCAGGGCTTCTTGGAATCAGAGAACATGGGCGCTGAAAGGTGATGTAGACCACAGATCTTGACAATTACAGTGGAACCAGGGCATCCGTGTCATGAGGGATTTGTGTAACCTGAGGTGTGACCTGACCTTCAGGGTTGGGATCCCCGCAGGTGGCACGGCCCCTCCCTGAGCCTGGCTGCCCACAAGCCTCACACACGCCTCCTCCACCTCCGTGTCTGTCCCGTACGCAATCACTTGGCCGAATGAGAAAAAAACTGTAGTGAAAGCTGGACAATAGTTACCTTGTGGTGTGTGGCGATGCCAAGGAAGCTGTGATTCTCAGCGGGAAGTGCCTCCTGGAGAGAGCAGAGAGCCCGTAGGAACATTTGGGTATCTACGAACTTGATTTATGAAACTCTCTCTTCCTCCTTAAAATGTCGAGGGATTAAAATTCTTAGAAGTTATCACGAGACCTCCCCCCAAGGGTAGACTCTCCCTGACACCACAGCTGGTTGTCCACACGGAGGGAGTGGGACTCGGGGACCTCGTTACAGAGCCTGGCCCCGCAAGGCCGCCTGGGCCCCATACCTTCCCCCAGACTAAGCTCCCACACACTGGGTGAGGAGACCCCCTCGGGGGTCACTCTGATGCTTCCATTTTGACATGAGTCTAAAAAACAAACCATTAGAGTTCACCTTTTTGTTTTTGACCAACTGTGTTTAATACAGACCCCTGTTACTCCTACCTTGGTGCTGGGGCTCTGATGTGGTCAGGGATGGGATGAGACTCGGAGAAGAGTGTCTGGAAAGAAGGGTGTTCAGAAATGGGTGAGTGTTAGAAGTTGGATTTTGGTCCCCAAAAATGATAGGATGAAGTCCTAACCCCAGGTGCCTATAATTATGACCTTAATTGGAAACAGGGTCTTTGCAGGTGTAATCAAATTAAGATGAGGTCTGTAGGTGGGCCTAATCCCAGATGACTGGTGTCCTTAGAAGACAATGCCACATGAAGACTGAGACACACGGGGAGAAGCCCATGTGAGGATGGAGGCAGAGATGGGGTGATGCTTCACAAGCCAAGGACACCAGCAACTGCCACCAAATCGCCACAAGCTGGGAGAGCCTGGAACAGATTCTCTCTCACAGTCTTGGATGGAAGCAGCTCTACCGATACCTTGATTTTGAACTTTTAGCCTCCATAACTGTGAGAGAATGTGTTTTTTGTTGTTCAAGTCACCCAGTTGATGGTGCTTGTGGCAGCCTTAAGTGACCAGGCCGTGGGGCTCAGGCCAAGGTTCACAATAGCTTACACCTGGTAAGAGGTAACTGTACGCACGCGCCAGTTATGTAGGCCTCATAAACAAAGACGTAAAGGTACGCATGCGCTAGTAGCATTCTGTAAGTAGGATGAACAAAGAAACAACGCACACGTGCGGGCAGAACAGATAAAAGCAGGACAAGTGCGCCACGCGGGTGCGCCACCTGGTTGCGCTGGAAGGTGCTAAGCTCCCGCCCGCTGCGCGCCACCCGCTTGTACTGTAATGAAGTGCTGTTTGCCCCCCCCCTCCCCCGTGGGCTCCTCGCGCATTCTTCCAGCTGGGCAGCTCACCTCCTCGACTCCCTCTGCAGCCGCCCTTGGCTGGCGGTGCTTTATTACAGCAGCCCCAGCAAACTCATACCGTGGGCAAGAGAGAGGCCGACAAGAGTCTCCAAGGAGGGCCAGTGGTTCTCAAGTCTGAGCGGGCAGCGGGACCACCCTGGGGGCTTGGTAAGACACTGGGCGCCGGCCCTCTCCCCCAGAGCGCCGGCCCAGCAGGTCTGGGGTGCGGCCTGAGAATGTGCATTTCTAACAAGTCTCCAGGTGGTGCTGACACTGCTGGTGTGGGGACCACACTTTAAGAACCACTGCCCTAGGGGCCTGGTAATAATGAGATGTATATCCCTGCTGATATGAGTTGTGCCAGCCCACTCAGAAAACTTCAGAGGCCACAGTCAGTTTTCATTTAAATGATTGCTTTAGTTTTAAATGATTTACACATGTGTTGATTCATGGACCCCCCCCCGCCCCCCGCAACACAGTAACCCCATGTGGTAGATATTATAGTCTCTGTTTTTACAGACAAGGACAATGAGGCTCAGGCGTGGACATGAATCTTCAGCAGGACGCTTCCCCTGCTGACCTCCTGAGCTCAGGAGTCCATGCTCAGAGCCTGGGTCATCCCCGGCTGGTTCAGCCTCAGAACTCAGGTTTCCCTGTTTGTAAATCACACCCATCGTCACCTAGCCTGGAGAGAGAGCCATTCCCCTCCTCCTGCGGCTGCGTGCAGGAAACCAGAGGGCCCTCGGCTCTGTGCTCTCGTCCACCCATTGTTGCTGCTTCCTGCTGGAGCTCCTGATCTCGTCCTCTTTCCTGGTGCTGTTCTGTTCCCAGATGCCCTCCAGATGCGACTTCCTCCTCCCTACTTCCATGTGCTCAGCACAAACCAGCCCCAAGCAGCTTTGGATCTGGGGAGCCTGGCGTGCAAGGCAGACAGGTAGGTGATGAGAACCGCCTGTGAGGACGGTCAAGAAGAACGTGTAACGTCCGGAGTTAGGTCAGCAGCCCTGGCCCCTCTCCAGGAGGAGGCCTCTGGTGGTGAGGGCAGCGCTGGTCCTCGAGCCTCTGCACACTGTGGACTGGCCAGGTCCCTTCGCGCCACCCCTCTGCGCTCTGATAAGGGCTGGGTTAGTGCGGGCAGGGTAGGGGTGCGAGCTTTCCACCTGGCCCAGTGTGGACACAGACTGCGGGCTCCCGTGAGAGTGGCCGGGGAAGGGTCTCAGCACACTTACACACGTCATACGGCCACGCGTCCTCCCTGCACCACTCAGACTCTTCCTAGAAACTAAATAAATACCCAGTCCCTCACTCCCACTCCCCGACAGAAGAGGCGGCCAGAACAACAGCTTGGAGTGCATCCTCCCTGCTATTTTTTTTTACTTTCTTAGGAAAGCCTTGGCGTTTTTGTAAATGTTAACTCTCAACTTTTAGAAAGTTTGTTTTGGGGGAGGGGTACTTTTGCTCTTTGCAACAATTTGCCTCCCCAAATTGGAAACCTTGTCTAAATGGTGGGTCTAGGACTCAGCCAATGATTCGTTTGGTCTTGTCTGCATTTGCTGTGAAAATACTCTTTTTCCGGGAAGAAATGGAAGACCGGAGGCCAAGGATGCAGTGGTGTTTACTAGGATACATTAGAGGTGGATTCACCTTGAAGCCAACGCAAGCCTTAGGGCTCCTCACTCACCATCCAAGACCCCACACCTAATTTTGCATCTATTGTTTCGTATTCTTTTTCTTAAAGAAACCACTCCCCAAACTGTATTAACTTTAGGCCCCCAACCGAGATTCAGTCTTAAAGCACATGATCCGTGAGACCTCATTCTCCTCTAAGGGTGCAGAGCCTCCAGTCTGGTTGATACTTTGTGTTTCTGAGGAGGCTCTTCCCGGGCAGGAAGAGGAGGAGGATGCTGACGCTTTGCGTTTCAAAACACCGAGGAGCCAATTTCTGTAACGCGTAGATGCGAAGAAGTAGATGATGGGGTCAATGCTGCAGTTCATGTTCATGAGGCACACGGTGAGCTGAAGGGACACTTTGAAAGCCCTCTGCTCGGGGCAGGTTGGCGGGCGGAGCATCCGTCTCACCATGAACTGGATGACGTTGAGGTGGTAGGGGGTGAAACATGCAACCACAGCCACCAGCACCACCAGGGTGAGCAGGCAGGCCCTGCGGTGGTGCCCCTTCCCGCTCGTCAGAGGGTTGTCTCGGGCTTCCCTGCACAACTTCAGGGTGATCTTCACGTAGCAGAAGAGAATGATGCCCACCGGCCCACAGAAGCTCAGGGCAGAGATCAGCAGGATCATGACGGGCAGCCTGAGCACCGGCTCCACACTGTCGTACTCCATGCAGGTCAGCCTGCCGGCCACCGGCTTGGTCAAAGGGATCAAGAGCAGGGGCACCGTCTGCAGAGATGCCAGGGCCCAGACAGCCACGCAGACCAGCCTGGCCCTCCCGGCCTCACGGAGCTGGGGCCACTGGTGGGTGCGGACCACAGCCAGGTAACGGTCCACGCTCACGCATGTCATCAGGTAGATGCCTGAGTGGGTGTTCACGTAGAACATGAATGCCATCAGTCTGCAGAGCCCTTCACCGAAAGGCCAGTTGAAGTCCAGCGTGTAATACGCGATCTTTCCGGGCAGGACCAGGGTGAAGAGGAGGTCGGACGCTGCCAAGTGGACCAGGTAGACACCTGTTGAGTTGATCTTCTTGCCCTTTTGATAGACAAGGCAAAGGGCAAGGATGTTTCCCAGAGCACTGAAGACCAACAGGGCCATGTAGAACAGAGAGAGCGTCACGCTGGCCGCCCGGGGTAGGTGGTGAGGAAGGCAGGAGTTGGCATGGTGGATGAGCCTGTTTGGACCAGCCGTGCTGGAAGCCATGTCATAGAGGTCCTTGGGGAGACAAAAAAATTAAGATGTAATATTGCATCTGTGGGGTTACACCTCTATAGAGTAATAATAATTTGCTGAATCAACATGCACATGAGAAGCATTTCTTTTTAAGGAAACTTTATCTTGAAGTGTGACATACTGTTCCAGTTACTGTTGCTGTGTAACAAATTACACCTCCCCCTCTTAGCAGCTGAAAATATACTTTATTATGTTTACAGTCAGATTTTGAACAGAACACAGTGGGAATGGCTTTTCTCTGTTCTCCAATGTTGGGAGCCTCAGCTGGGAAGAATCAACAGTTGCGGGTTACTCAGTGGCAGAGGCTGGGACCATCTAGAGGTGACTTCACTCAGACGAGTTGTGGTTTGTGGTTTTTGGCTGGAGCCTCCACTGAGGCTGTCAACTAAGGCACCTGCATGGGGTTGCTCATGAGATGGGGGCTTCCTCACAATATGGCAGCCTGAACGTAACTCTGTTCTTACACAGCAGCTTGAGGCTTTAAAAGAAAGTGTCCCAGAAATTAGATAGAGGCTCTTAGTTTTTTATTCTCTATATTCTGATGCTGTGACATCTTGGGGCCTGGCTGACCCTGGAGGGACTGCCCCTACTTGGGTTAGCCAGTTACTTGAGTGCACTTTTCAAACGCAAACCAACCATTCCAGAGTTGCATCCCAACCACTCCTACCTACCTGCCCGAGCCGCCCTGGGGCCGGGTACCAGGGGCAGCCCCTGTGTCCCAGAGCTCCCGGAGGAGGTTCAAACTGGCCAGTCCTAAGCCTGCTTACCCTGTCTTGCCTGTTCCTTCCCATAGAAACCACAGTAAGGCTCTTGCCCACATTTTGCTTCTCTCCTTCTGTCTCCTGACTGACACGACTGCTCCCTGTGACTCCTGTGATGTGGTGTTGCCCCTCTTCTTTGGGTCTATAAGTAACAAGGTCTCTTTTTCAATGGCAATTGTCTCCTGACCTGTTGGCCTTACTGAACCCCCAGTTTCCTATTAATGCTATATTTGAAAACACTCCATCACCTTTTCCAACCTGGCCTCAGAAATGTGGCATCATCACTTTCACAGTCCGTTACAAGTGAGTCACAAGCTCACCCAGAATCAAGAGGAGGGGACACAGCCCCCACCTCTCAATTGGAGGAACGTCAAAGAATTTGGAGCCTTTTAAAATTCTTAACACATATGTGCAAAAATGCACACAAATCATAAAAGGGCAGCTTGACAATTTTCAAAAAGTGAACACATCTGTGTGATTAGCACCTGGATTAGGAAACACCTCACTAGCTCCCCAAGAAGTTCTCCTTTGCCCACCCCAAGCTCTACCTCTATGCCAGGGTAATCAATCTCCAACTTCTAAAATCACGAGTCAGTATGCCTGCTTCTGAAACAAAGTCAATGAAATCGAGCACTATGTGTGTATGTACCCTTAAGTGCACAGCTTCATTGAGTCAGCATTAGTCTGTGAGATTCACTCGCGCTGTGGGGTGTAGTTGTGGTTTGTTCCTTCTCGTTGCTGTGGGATAGTTCCTTGTATGAATGCATCACCATCTATATCCATCCTACTGTTGATGAATGTTTCCGTTATATCAAGTTCAGCTCTGCACACTCTTCCACGTGTCTTTGGTGGCACATAAGTATACATTTGGCCGAGGATCTAGCCAGGAGTGAGGCTGGCAAGTCACAGGTTCTGCACATTCTGTTTTAGTAGTCCTGAAAAACAGTTTGCCAAAGTAGCCACTCTTCATACTCCAAGAGTGTACGGGAGTCCCCAGGGCTCCTTGTCCTCGCGGACACTGGGCATGGTCAGTCTTTTTCGGGTGAACCATTTTGTTGGGTGTGCAGGGTATCTTCTTGTGGTTTCAGTTGGTATTTGCCTAATGACTGCTGACGTCAAGCACCTTCTCACAGGTTTATTGATCATTTATATACCTTCTTTATGATATATAAAGATTTTGTCCCTTTTTATACTGGGTTGTCTGTCAAAAATGTCTGCGTTTTCCTCTTTCCAGCCCATTTTCCCAGTCTGCTAAACTAGCCCTGCCTTTGCTCTACACACCTCCATTTCTACCATCTGCATTCTGATCATCCTTTGACCTTCAGTTTCCACACAAGGAGACAAGAGAGCTGGGGTGGGCCTACTCAAAGCTTTGCGCAGCAGGTGAGGCCTGAGTGGCAGTCCACGTGGTGCACGTGTGAGCACTGAGGTGTGCATCTGGTGTGTGGTTTATCCAAGGGCCACAGTAGCTCACAGATGCAGGACCTGAGATCCAGGTGGAGAACTTCTGTAGTCAGGTGCTGGCCTGAAGGGCACCAGCTCCATGAGCCCCATGGCCTCACTTGAGTCAGGACACAGCTGTCCTCTCCTTTGCCAGTTTGGAACTGGCTGGCAGGGAGCCTGCTGTAATTGTGCCTCATTTCAGCCTAGGCGTAATCATGAAATGCCCAGGAGCTGCGCCAGCTGCTGGTTATATTCAGGAGATGAGAAAGAACCAAATCCTTACCATCTGAAGGCTTCCTTCCAACTGAATAGATAAGCTGTGCAAGTGAAAACTACTAAATGGAGGTGTTACTAGTACTGTTTATACATTTCTTTCTTCTAAGCTTGACTGGTAAAGCACCAGTAAGTAATAAACATGTTAAAACGCATGCAATCCCCCTTCTACTGTTTTCTTTTTTATTATTCTTTCTATTAAATTGGGCTTATGCAAGCAGGCTGTTTTTCTGGCACCCCAAGCCCTTAGGTACATAAAAAGCCCGTGCCCTTTGAATTGCACTGGAGAAGCCGCCCTTGCCAGGGCCTGAGGACAGAAATAGAAAAGCAGGTCTCACCTGTCCTCACCGCCAGTCCCTGAGCTGCTTACAGGGAAGGAAGATGGGGGGACAGCTAATGAAAACTGGGCAGGAAAGGGCTCTTTGCCCAGCTCAGGAGTTAGGGAGGGGCTGACTCTGCAGAGGAAGGAGCGGCTCCCTTCACACCCCGACCCCACCCTGGGGCTCTGACCACAGTCCTCCATGCAGCCCTAGACTCTGAGTCTCTGAGCCCTGAGATGTGAATCTGCTCAGAGACTTTGTAGAAACAGCCCCCGGTTGGTCTTCTGCCTGCTCTGAACAACTTGGTCCTCAGGCTGCACTGAGGCGGGGCCGTGGGGAGGGGCTTCTGTGCCCCCGAGTAGGAGGCGGAGGGCGTCTCAAGCAGCCGGTTTAGGTCAGGAGGGTCCCAGCCACAGGTCAACTCAGCTGCTAGAATCACTTTTCCAGTCAAAGGGCAGTGATTTGACATCTGTTGGAACATTGTGTTCCCCTTTCCCTGTCGGCTCAGGACTCACTGGGCACAGGGATGGGACTGGTTTCTAAAGAGACCCTCCCCCTGGCAAGCATCCCCTCTTCTGACTTTCCTGGGCCTCCTCCCCAGGACTCACCACACAGGAACCCACAGTGCAGGGCACCAGGCACAACCAGAGGCCCCGCCAACCACCACCTCCTCCCCAGAACCTCCAGCCTCTGCAGCATCCACGCCCCCTACCCCGTGCTCATGTGGCGCCTGAGGACACTGGTACCTTATCCCCGTGACTCACACTCCTCGGCTCTGCCCTGCCACTTCGGTAATGCTGGGCCCCACAGGTCTCTTCTAGTCTTCTTCCTTTCTGGAAACAAGTGTTCTGGATGCAGCTAGGAGCCCTGTTGTTCCCCCTTTGCAGGGCACTCACAAAGAGGTTACACCTACACCCCAAGGAGTGGGGGGTGGGAGCTGTCACAGCTGTGAGTCTAGGAGCTGCTCTGGGGGCCCTCACGCCTCAGACCTGATGGCCTGTCCCCTCAGCCCATCCTTGGCTTATTAATGTGGATGCAGCCCTTCCCCACCACGGGCACTAACTGCCCGGCGCCTGACCAGTCGGCTGGCCTGTGCGCTGTGGGCTCTGCCCACACCTGCCCGAAGATGTGCTCCTCCGCCCTTTCTGCACCCATCACCCTGCCCCCCACCCCCCACGGTTTCTCCCCCACGAGCACAAAGTATCCCATTTCTCCAACCCATTCCACTCTGCTCTTGGGAAATGACCCTCCATTTGTCTTGTAGGGGAACAGAATTTGCCACTCCGAAATATGCCTGTTTGGCCCAAGGGTTGTTTTAAGCTGGTTATTTTTAAGAAACTGCAGGCACAGGAGAAACTCTGAAACCAAGTCAAAGTTACTCTTCGTAACGGACACTTATATTTGGAAGGATATCTCCCCCTACCAGGAAGAGGGCATGACTCAGTCTCTAGAAACTCCAGTCAGTGTAGAAGGCACCGACTGAAGTCTGCATAATGACCCTTGTTTACTGTGCTTTTCCTGATCACCTCCCATAACTGGCTCCCCCACCCCCAACATCTTCTGTGGGCTTTAGCTGAAGAAAATATCTTTACGGTGGTGGTTTTGGTCATTTGGGCGAGTTACTCGGTTTTCCTGGCTCTCTCCCATGGACACGTGTTTTTAAGCTTTTGTTTGTTTTTCTCCTGTGAATCTGTCTCTTGCTGCTGTAACGAGTGGGCCAGCCAAAGAAGCCAGAGGGAAGAAGGGACATTTTCCCTCCCCTGAAGTCTTTTATATCCTAATAGGAAGTTACCGGTGCATTTCCAGCTCACGAGAGTATTTGCCTTTTGAGACTCACCCAGCTGTGATTGTGGAGGGCGAGGTGTGGTCCTGTTACGGGGCTACCAGTTAGTGCAGCCATGTAGGGGAGAATGAATGATCACCAGGGCTTCCAGAGGGCTCCAAAGGTTATGTATGCCACGAGGTCTGAACCAGTGAAGGCAGCCAGGCCTATCAGGCTGTTTCGCTCAGTGATGTGACACTGACCTTTGGTCCTTCTGGCCTGACTAGTCCTTCTGCCCTGTCAGAACGGGCAGAGGTCCCGGCTGGTGGGCTGAGGTCAGGTAAGGATGCTCTGCCCTCTGCCAACAGAAGCAGAAAGAGAGGACGTGTAAAGAGCGGTACAATCTGAGTCTTTCTCTCCAAGCCC